CAAGTGGTTTCCATTTGATTTGAACTCTTTCACAATACGAGAAGCGACGATGATACGAGAACAGAAACACCCCAAAGCCAAACAAGCCACAACAATAACACTGGATCCTACAGCTTCATCTGATGACTACAAATCGGGACGAATAATCCAAAACCATTGTTTACTGACTTTCAGTTGTATTATGATGAGAACAAATTGGTCTGTTAGCCAAAATAATACTTCCAAGGCAGCTGTAACAAAAACCTTTCAAATGAGTTCATGAAACGCATATGTATCAGTGTGAAGAGTTTTGGAACACAGTTCAACATGCTACTAATATGTTTATTTTTATTTTGTGAAATTATTTTGCATGCATTTTCCAAAACTCTCATTACTGCCAACTAGTTTACTAAAGTAGCTGTGGCACATTTGTCAAGTGGTCAAAATACACCATTACTACGAACATGAATCTTTACTGTCGATGATTTACTACAGTATGTAGAAACCCGTTCATATGGTGCAATCAATTTGTCTTTTGTATAATAGGTTTTATTTCTACGGTGGTAGTACAATACTGGTTTTTAGTACTGATTTTTTTATTTTATTTTGTAGGCCCATAGTGCTACCCGTCTTTGCTTTTTACCACTTCAAGGTTTTTCTGTTTTTTTATTGTGTCTATGACCTGTGCTCATAATTGTATTTATTTTAATTTCCTTTAATGTACTGACTGAATGACAATAAAGTAAATCTATCTATCTATCTATCTATCTATTAGGGGTGCAACGATACACAAAATTGACGGTTCGGTTCGGTTCGGTATGTTTTTGATGCAAAAAAAAGAGAAATTTCCTTGCCTTTTTTTTTTTTTTTAACTTGTTATTGAAAAAATACATTTATCTGATGGAGAAGTCACCCATCTTCTGTCGTGCATTCTTAGCAGCAGAGTATATAACACAAATAAGTTGCACTTTACAAAATAAAGCTGTATGATGCCCATCTTCTGGGGTAGATTCTCAGCAGCATATTAAACAAAAACAGCTGCGCTCAACAACGCAGCCCAGAGTAGTCGAGCACAGATCCACTGAGGTCAGCACAGAGCGCTTCGTTGGATGTTGATTAAAAAAAAATAAAAAATGAAATTGCGTATTGTTCGATTAATAGGGCGTACCGAACCGAGACCGCTGTATTCAACGGTTCAATACAGATCCATGTATCGTCGCAGCCCTACTATCCATCCATCCATCCATCCATCCAATCCATCCATCCGCATTTATTATGATGCATAATATTCTACCATGTTTCATTTCCAAAGGCTCCAAATGTCAAATTTGCACATGCTCACAGTGAAGCGAGCGTGGACTCTGAGCATCTATACGTCCCATGAGCAGCTCTCCGCTCCGGCTTTGACTATCAGTGTGGAGAGCTGAGGTTAAAAAGCCTACAGCTGGCTCATCCGAGTGTGTGGATTAGGATGCTTCTGAGCAGCAGTGACGGCAGGATTAGCGGCGCTGTGTAATGGACCACATCTCTTCACTTTAGGGCAGAGGGCTCCAACGGCAGATGAGCGCTCGCAGATCAAATGATTAGCACTGCATCCCCCACATTCATCTGGGCTTGTGGTGGATGTACCTCCACGGTGTAACGCTAGCACGGCGCTCTGCTGCTCTGCTGGGGCCTCTCTGTGTTTTTACTTACACTCTTCAGTGTTCAAGTTTCTAAGGGAAGGCCTGTCTGCTTCTCTCTTTCTCACACACACACACACACACACACACACCCACAATAAAACCGTGAGTAGATCTAATTAAGTAGTAGTTGACAGAATATGGTACAACGGTGCCAAGACGAGGGATTCGGTTCCCACAAGGATTTCAGTCCTCAACATGACAGTCTCAGCTGACAACACAACACGTGTAGCAATTCCCACATTAAAACACACTGCAGCCAAGAAATCAAACCATAAAGTACGTCTCACACTGTAAATATTTATGTTTAAGAAGAGCAGCGCCTTGCTTCTGGACTTGGGAAGTGTAGTTGGACGAATATGTTGATGCAAAATGAATATTACAACAGGGACAGATACTTCTCATGTGCGTGCATGTTAATACATATTTTACAGGTCTGCCTGCAGTCATGTCTGTAAAATCTATACACACGGCAAATCCATGAACCTAAAAAAACCGACATATCAATCAATGGAGGACAAGAGTAAACCATTACATAATGCCACGATCCATCAGCTGTAAATAATTAACGGTTTACAAGCTGTAATGTTCCACAATGTGGGTCATATTTTTATGGATCCTGGCACACATGAGCGGCTGTCACTGCTCTACATATCTGTTGGATGTAGTATCTCAGTAATTTAGTGGACTATTTAAAAACATG